GGACTTGCGCGCCAGGGGTGCCATGCAAGTACATGGTGCGTGATGGGCGTGCCCCGCCTCGGCTCCACAATCGAGCTCGACCTCGCGCGCCATAGCTGCGTCGAGGATGCGGCGTAGGTCTTGGTTTCAGAAGTTGAAGCAGTGGATGTGGTCGAGGAGCTGAGCGCTAAATCCGCCAGGTGCGACCGCGTGCTCACAGTGCGCGAGCTAGAGCATATCTACTTGCGAAACCGACCAACAACTAAACCGTGATCTCAGTGTTTCGACCTGGTAGCAAACGTGCGAACTCTAGATTTCAATCAGGTTGCCTGCGTCGGGCGCCGTGAATGATGGAGCTCGCATGCTTGGTGGTAGTCTTAGTCTTAGGAGAGACTCGACATTCAGCAGTGAATTGCCTGCTCGACTCGCTGCAGTTGATGCTGGCTGTGCCGCGATGGGCCGAGATTGGTTTCGGCCGCGTATCCCGTTCGCCGAAAAAGGATTTAGCGTTTTTCAGTCGAGTCCTTGGCCGCGCACTTACCAGCGTCGAGAGCTCCATTCCCGCTGCCGCCCAGTTACAGAAGATCCGGGCTCGCGTCGCGGGCGACGCGCGCAGAGCTTTTCAGGGGGCCGCGAGTATTGAAAGAGGTCAGTACCCAGCGCCCCTCACCAATCGAGACTTTCTTGGCTTTTTGGCGTTTCGCTCCTCTAGAAATCGAGCTCCGTTCCAGAATGCTTAACTAAGTGGTTCCGGTATTGGACCTCGGCCCCTGGTCTTCGTCTTGTCGACCAGGGCGCTCTTCGAGGGGCTGCGGGGGTCGAGATCGACAGCCGCCTCCGCGTCGTGGATGCGCGGGGCAATTTTAGCGAGACTGCGCGTCCATTGGCTCGTCTTTTCGTCGCCGACGTCGCTCGCGTGTCGAGCTAGGGAGTGAGGAGTTCGAGCGAATCGCCGACGAGTTCGATTGTGCTCCGCTCTAGCCTTTTCCCGGGCCCCGAGCCGACCGATTGGTTCGTCAATCTTGATGTCGAGGAAATCATCGCCAATTTGCTCAGCGGACGCATGCCTCCCCCCCGGCGCCGGGCGCCACCTCCTCCGAAAATGCATCATCGGGATCGCGCAGATCACAGCCCAGGTAGCCGCGCGTGCACTGCGCGAGGCTGTCCGCGGGCTTTCGCATCTCGAAGGCAGCTCCGGCACGGGTTTTGAGAATTTAGTTTCAGGCAGCGTTTGCGTATTAATGCTTCGTGGGCCAGTCGGTTTTCGAAAACGAGAACGGCACGTATAAGCATGTAGCGGCGTCATTCAGTGCAGGTGCGTGCGCGGCTTCCAGGGGCAGCACCTACCAGGTTCGCCAGAACGACGGAACGATGGTGCATTCTGTTGCCCATCGTGCCAGGCTCAAGCTCACGATTCAGCAGTGCTACATCTCCATGTCCGCGAGCCCTTGAGTTTCGTCCGCTCGCCGACGACGGAGATCGAGGCCGCTCCAGGCTGGCTTCCCAAGACCGCGCGCGTGGCCGAGATTGCCGCGGCAACGGAGAAGGACTTCAAGCTCGCCTGTCTCAAGCAACGGGTCGAGGGGGAAGCCGAAGACTCAGGGGGGCCACTGGCATCTCCGATTGCCGCCCCGGCCAAGCTGGCGCTCAGAGACAACCGCGAGCTGGCGGAGCTCATCGGCGCCAACTGCACTTGCTTTTTGCTCCCGCGCCATGCCGATCATATTCCAGCGAGCAAGCGAGCCGGTTCAGACTACGACGGGAAGTGCAAGACGGAGGGCAAATATGATTCCGATGGGCCACCGTGGCCCCACTTCTTCATGACAATGGTGCGTCGTCGCGTTCAGATGCCCGACCTGCCCGACATGCTCAAGAAAGCTCTGAACCCGTGCTGGGCGTAGTTGTAAAGAAGTCCAAGCATAACGCGTTCCAGATGCTACGGGCGCGCGTGAAGTACTTCAGTTACCTTCCGTGCCATTGCGACAAGAAGAAGTTCGACTCCGCTCAACAGTGCAAGATGCAGTTCGTGGTCGCCGCGCAGCAGCGCGCACTCAGCGTCGCCGATGGGGGGCATCGCGCTGTGCGACGCGGTTTGCCAGATCGTGCAGCTCCAGAGAGGGACTTACAAGCCGGGGAGTGCGCCTCGGTGGGCTCCTGAGACGGACGCAGAGATCTTGGTCTAGAAGATTGACATCAGCAGCGAGAGTATCGCGAAGCAGGTGGGCGGTGGCAAACCCGAGAAGACCAAGGGCAGCAGCGCGAAAACAAACAAACCGAGGAGGAGGTGGCCGCAGAGATGCTCGACGAGGACGGCTAATGATAATGGCTCGACTGAGCGAGGTGGTAGGACCCGAACGCATGAGCGACATGATCAGGCAAGGAGTTCTGAACGATTAAATGCTAAGTGTTTTGCAGAGTAGTCCTGCCGCCCCCATCATCGTAAAGTACCGATCTGGAGGCAGTTTTTCCTGATTAACCATGTTTCTGGAGCTCCGTTCGAAAAATAATTCAGTCCGGAGCCATCTTCCGTTTAGTTGCTCGGGCCCAAACCCTCTCCATTGACTTCCCGCTTTCTTCTGTTGGGTCTCCCACGCCCTTCCCCTTCCTGGCTCCTTCGGCCCCCCGCGGGGGATCCACGGCAATGGCAATGATTTCCGGAAAGGTTGGCGATCTCACGACCCGTCAGTTTGCTTAGTTGGGGACTGATGTTTCTGGAGGGTGGTTTCGGTTTCCCCAACGGGCCGTGCCTCTTTCAGCCAGTGGTGTCCCCCAGCGAAGCCGCCGGCAGGCGTTTCCATTCGCAGCGCACAGCCATGCAGTCCACATTCTATTGCGCCTTGATTTGCCTTGTGGGAAGGTGGCGGCCTCGAGCCCGTAGATCCCATCCCTGTGCCGCTCGAAGCCTAACCGAGGGGCGGGTTGTCGCCCCCTTCGATTGGGAGACAGAGGGTAGGGTTGTTGCGGGGTTCGCGGGTCCTCCTCGCCACAGGCACAAAACAATGGCTCGCAAGTGGTTTGCCTGCTTGTCTGTTCTCCTCCGCCCCTTGTCTCTTTACCACAATCATCAAGAGCATCATCATCATCATCATCGGGACCACCGTCTTCATCATACTCGTCATCATCACCATCACCATCAGCATCGCCGTCAGCATCGGTATCATTACCATCATTGCTATCATCATCATCATCATCAGCGTCATCATCATCATTATCGCCATCATTGCCGTCACCATCATCGCCATCTCATCATCATCAGTGGCGGTAGTGTCGGGCCCCCTTCCGCTCCTCCATTCATCATCAGCATCATCACCATCATCGTCATCGCCTTCATCATTGTTATCATCATCGTCATCAGTATCATCATCACCGTCAGCCTCGTCACCATCATCATTATCATCATGATCATCATCACCATCGTCGTCACCATCGTCATCACCACGTCCACTACCATCATTATCAGCACTACTGTCACTACCGTCATCATCACAATAATCATCACGATCTTCATCTTCATCATCATCATCATCATCATCATCATCATCATCATCATCATCATCAGTTCCACCATCATCACCACCACCATCATCATTATTACCATCGTCGTCGTCGTCATCATCATCGTCATCGTCATCATCAGCATCACTGCCATCAGCTTCGGCACACCCCTTACGCGGTTCGGGGCCCCATAGTGATCTCCACGAAAGCCCAAATAGCAGGGTTCGCATGGCGGCCCCGCCCCATTTCGGCACACCCCACACACGCTTCCTGGCCCCATAGGGAGCTCCCCCATTTCGGCACACCCCTCACACGTTTCGTGGCCCCATTGGGAGCCCGACCGAAGGCGCAGTGGCAGGGTTCGCAGGGCGCTTCGGCCCCAATTCGGCACAACCCATCCCATGTTTCGTGGCCCCATGGGGAGCTCCACCGGAGGCGCAGTGGCAGGGTTCGCAGGGCGCTCCCGCCCCATTTCGGCACACCCCACACACGCTTCCTGGCCCCATAGGGAGCTCCACTGGAGGCGCAGTGGCAGGGTTCGCAGGGCGCTCCCCCCCCACTTCCGCACACCCCTCACTTCCTCGTGGCCCCATATGGAGCTCCACCGAAAGCTGTATTCATAATGCGGTACCCACAATTGCATATGGTTGGACCTCTCGCCAGGATAACTTCTCATTGGCAGCTGGATCGGGAACTTTGAAGTCGACTAACCGTGCCACATTGTCAGGCCACCTTGGGGTGCGCAGTAAGATGTGCATTGTCAGAGCGGGTCCCGATTTCTCAGGCAGACCCAACTCTTCTCCATCTCGGAGGAGTCGGAGGAGGCCTCCTCACTCTCACTCTCCCTTCTGTTCCTGACACTACCCTCTCTCTTCACCTCCACGTTCCTCTGTTGCAACACACTCCTTCTCTACGCTCCTGCATTACATGCGGCAGTGAAACTCGTCAATCCGACTTGCTGAATCAGCTTGCCAAAGCAAGCCTCCAAGTCGCTCGCCACTCGGGAAATTTGTCATCGACATGTCGAACCTACTCGCAATGCCAGTCTTGTTCGAAGTCTGTAAGTAGACAGTGTTGACTGTCTGGTGTCGATAGCCGCGTCTTCTCAGGTCACGACCACCTACAGCTTGTCATCACATGTTATCCTCCTACTCCTGACCCGTACCTTCCCTTTCTCGCCTTCGCTCCTTCTCCCTCTTCCTCTTCCTCCGAATCCTCATCTTCCACCTCCATTTCTACCTCCTCTTTTACCCTCCCCTTCCTCTCTCTGATCTTCCTTCTCCTCCCCTCATCCTCCCTCATGATTCTTCTCTCTCCTCCTGCGTGTCCGAAGGGCACGTCTCCTCCCCCTCCTTCCCCTCATCCCCCCTCTATGCTCATTGCCCCTTCTCCCCTGCCCCCTCTCCTTCCCCTCCTCCTCCTCCTCCTCCTCTTCCTCCTCCTCCTCCTCCTCCTCCTCCCCTTCCTCCCCCTGCCCCCCCCCCTCACTCTCTCTGCTCCCCCCCCCCCCCCCGCCGCGCGCGCGG